GGCTGGGCTTCAACTCCCCAGGTGAATGGGGGTCCTGCCTGCCCACTGGGTGGTAGGGCTGGGCAGAGCAGGGCCTCTGTCAGCCTCACTGGCCTTGCTCCTTGGATTGACTGACCTTGTCCGTGCAGGACAGTGAGGGTCTTGACTCTGCCTTCTCCACCCAAAGAACGTGGGCGGGGCGGGGCTGAGGAGGCAGGCATCTGCCTCCCAGGTCCTACCCCCACCCTTCTGAGACAAGGGGTCACATGTCTGCCTGGCTCCGGCCACACCTGCCCTGCTCTGGCCACTTCACAGACTCCCGCTGTCAGTGGAGGGAGACAGGCTGCCCTCACTCTTAGCACAGTGGCCATGTGACACAGATGGGCCGGGCCCGTGCCCACACTGTCTCCTGTGGCCCCGCAGACATCGACGAGTGCTCCTTTGAGCGGACCTGCGACCACATGTGCATCAACTCCCCTGGAAGCTTCCAGTGCCTGTGTCACCACGGCTACACGCTCTACGGGACAACCCACTGCGGAGGTCTGCAGCCCGCCCACCAGGGCCACCTCCCCCCGAGGCACGCGTCTGGCGCACAGCCACCCACAGTGTCCCACACCCCAAGCTGACCTGAGGGTCCGGGAGGGACCTGAACCAGGCTGGGACTATAGGGGGGAGGGGCAGCGAGTACCTGCTGGATGCCAGTTATGGGGGACCTGCCCAGAGGCCTCAGCTCACAGCTAGGAGTGGCCACTCCAGAAGGAACCCCACAGCCCATTCACCTGTGGCAGAACGTTGACAAAGGAGCCAGAGACAGCAGGGGAGCCTAGGGGTGGGCAGTGGCCCAGAGGGTACAGCATGGGCACAGGCACTGGGGCACAGCAGCGTGGTGTCCGAAGCCCCACATGAGAAGGGAGGGAGGTCGAGACACAGCAGAGATGGCACGATCAGGGCCCTTGACCTCATTTCCAGTGAGGACCGCTGGGGACACTGAGCATGCAGTGGACAGGCCTGGGGTCCAGGCAGGGCAGGGAGAGCACCGGAGCATGACTGTGACTGTCATATATGCGGCTAGTGGCTGTGTGTGTGATGGCAGCTGTGTGTGTGACTGTGTGGCTGAGTGTGACTGGAGG